TGACGAATAAGCGTCTTTTCAGAAAAGATTGATTCAAATTCGACAATACCAATCAGAATCTAGAATGTAAACAAATCATAAAAAATCGTTATTTTCATAGTTTTTCAGCGCTATTTTCATTTATTTTTGTTATTTGACGCTATTTAGACGAATAAGCAAGTTTTCCGAAGCATAAAATTGAAGATTTCCCGCCAAAATAGAAACTTCCTGATAACATCGGAAATGTCGTTCTAACATCATTTTATTTTATTTGATTCTTCAAAAAATCGTTATAATACTATGTATTAGACTTAGAATATTCGATATCTAAACCAGAAAGTGTTAGCTAGAAATAGACTTATTTATAGAACAACCCCCCATTTCTCACTTCAGGGAAAGTTATAAAACAGTTGGGTGCTAATGACTTTGTGAAAGGGAAAAGTTCTACACTTAGAAACTTCGAAAGAAGGGATTTGGCCTGTACCGTCTGCGGGCCGCATAAACATTGATAAGGGGCCGTATGTGGCCCGCGGGCCGCAAGTTGTGCACCCCTGATTAAAGTAGCCAAGACAGAGTCAAATATTGTAGCGCCACATCACTAGCGGACATTTGAAATTTGCCGACTAGGACGGTCGGTTAATCGGGGGCCGGATAATCGAGGCTCTACTGTACTTTCTCGGCTGTTATAATAGAGGGCAAAAAATGACTCCCCCAAGAATTCTACATTTTTGAACTTAGGACACCTTGAAATGTCAAAATTCAAAAAAATTTGGGGGTAATTTCTGTATGTATGGATGTTGGTGTGTGTGGGTGGCACAGTTTTGTTCACTCTGTTTGAAGCTTAATAACTTCTATGCTTTTTGTCAAAAATTTCTGAAATTTTGCAGGAAGGTTTGTTTATTTGGTTTAGTATTAATATGATAACAGATGGTGCCATGAAAATTTTAAATGTTGCCAGGAATGTTGAGTAACTCGTTGCTTGTTTGTTAAGTTTATTTTAAATAGTATGCTGTTAACTGAAGGTTAGTCAAACTGATCAAAAATATTCTTAATTTTAATAAACATATTGTTAAGATTATGAAGGTGTTTTTTTTGTTTGCTTATTAGTTTTGAGTATTTTTTTTCTTTGGATTACTTTACACTAAAGTACAATTTGTTTAAATCTTAGCTTTCAAGTTTGTAAATCAAATTAATTCTTTAAACATATGGATAAAACGGATTAAAGAACATGAAATTAAAGAAATCATAGAGCTTAAATTTTATAAATATTTATTATTTTTCTTCATAAATTTTAATTGCAAGAAATATGAATAATTACTTACAGGCAGTCCTACTTAGGGCTGACTCTAAAATTCCAAATAACTGCAGGATGCGTAAGAGTAAAGACAAGCTGTAAAAAGCAGAACATACCTTATTTAATATCAAACAAATTCTATTACATAAAGTGTTGAAAGTGTCCTTCCCTAACATCTGCATGTAATGTAACAATACACTCCATATTTGCAAATGTCATCTACAGCACATCATTGTTGATGACAGCAATTTCCAGTAAACCATGAATATTTAATGACTTATTAAGTATTCATGGTTTACTGGAAATCAAAATGACACTGTGAATGTCCCAAAACACAGGATCATAACCTTTCCTGCTTACAGAATGACTTTTTTTCATCCATTGTGAATGTGGATGATGCCATTCTAGTGATTGTTGCTTTGTTTTGGGTTCAAAGTGATACACTCACATTTCATTTCCAGTGATGATGTAAACTAAACTCTTCACCATAGACTCGTAGTGTTGCAAGAGTTCTGATGCAGTGGTTTTCCTTGCTACTGTTTGGTTGATCATGAGCTGCTTCGAACACATCATGAACACACTTTAGCATACTCAAGTTAACAGATGATTTGGTGAACATTCCCAGCAATAATACACAAGCATTCTTTCAGCTGTTGGACTGTAATGTATTATTCCTTCTGGATCATTTCATCAACATGCTGCATCATGGCTGCCATAACAGCAGTGGCAGGATGATTGCTTCATGCCAGATCGCAGAGATCTGTCATTCCTATTGTTGTTGATTTCAAATGTTTCACCCAACTAATGGTTCTTTGATTGACAGCTGCTGTTCTGTAAACAACACACAATTGATTATGAATGTTTCTAACAGTTTCCTCTTTAACAATGAGGAATTCTATCACCTACATTTCTTGAATGTGCATTGCTGACATTTGCTATTTTTCACAAAGCTGTTGTGGTCCTGCCTGGTGGCAGGACTTGAAGTTTTCCACAATGTTAGCAAAAGCTTCCAGGTATAAGTCCTCAAAAGTGGAGTTATTTCACAGTCTTTATTTCCCAGATATAAATTATGGTGCATTACTTTTTGAACGACCTTTGTAGTTTAAAGATTTAAAAAGAAAAATATATAAAACCTCCCAAATGGAAAAATAATTTGTACATTTGATTCTGGTTTGCATAGTTTTTATTGTAGCTATATTTATCTTTAGTCCTATTTAACTTTATGTATACTCTAGTTGTTTAAGTTTCTCACTAATCTGAACAACCCCATACAATAATTAATTTGGATTAGTGAGCATGTACTCTACATTATACCATTTTAGTATTGAGTTGTTGTTATAAACTCATTCTGTTGGACTTATTTTTAAACTTTATCTTTAGAGTATATATATATCTATATTTTTATAAAGTAGACACATTTAAAACTCAGACATGCTACTTATAAATTTTAAATTTCTTTCCTTCTAAATAATGTTGCATTGATATAAATAAATTGTATTTGGAAGTTGCTAGGTTTTGAGAGTATTGTGTGTGTAATTGTTTTCCAAACAATTTTTTTTTTCTTGGAGTGCTTTTCTCAGTATGTAGTTTGGTGTTATCTTGTAAAATAACATTTCAGTTGACTATTGCAAGTTGGTTTTTAGTGATTGCAATTTTTATGCAGTTTAGTTGATCACAATGCATGCTTGCATTAATTGGTTCTCCAGATTTTAAAGTTCAAAATGCATCACACCTTAAATTTTCTACCATACACAGAAAAGTAGGTTTGGTTTTGGAATAGTTCCAGAATACTTTTTTCTGATGTTAGCCATCCAATATTTAATCAATTAAAAACAATTTTATTAATGTTAATTGGAAATGGATAATTTCATATTCATAGATTTTGTTTCTTTATTACAAAAAGGGCTAGGATATATAGGCCCTAAAAATCATAAGCTATAATTTTTATAATTATTTGATTTTTATACCTAGATCTTAGCTTTAATAATAATAATAATGATGATGATTATAAATGCAGAGCCCAAATGGTTAGGAGTTGAAATTTGATACACAGTTTGGATACATGATGAGAATGTACACTAAGAAGGGATTTTTGGAAATTCCCCCTGCAGGTAGAGGGTTAAGGATTCCTGGCTTCAACTGTACTATTTCAGATGCGTTTTTTTTTTTTTTTTTTTTTCATTTTTGCGTGAAATTGAACATATTTTTAGACCAATCTAAAAATTCTTTAAATTAACCTTGGAAGAGGGGGATCTAATACTTGCATCCAGTGAAAATGGGATAACTTTTGTAGTTATATAAATCAAATTCTATAATATAATACAATAGAAGGATTAGAAGTATGAAATTACCTAATCTTTATGTTTTTTTTCCCCCTGGCAGTGCTGGGCTTACCTGCTAGTGGAATATAATGTAGGGATTAGTCAAAATTTTGATTGCCCCAAATTTTTGCTTTTTGCATTTCGACACTTCGGGAGCCCAAAAAATAAGAAAAAATTACAAAATTTTGGGCGTATGTCTGTTTCAATGTCTAATTTGAATTACATCTCAGGACTGGATGAACCAACAATTTTGAAACAAGGCAGGATTATTTCTATATATGAATCATTTAATGTTGTTAAATTTTGGTGGTTAAAGGTCAGGTTGGGAGATAGAAGAAGGTCATGTCATATCTTGAATGGTGTCAGACTTAATGAAAATTTTAATTGTTATTGTCATTTACGGTATTTTTAAACTCATCTTTAATATCAAAATGAAGTCTTTTACCATTTTATAATAATTAATAATAATATAAAAATTATTTTTAAAAAATCTTATAGCAGATGGCATGCGCACAATTTAACTGTGATAATGTCTTAGTGTTTTTAAAACTTACTTTTTTTTTTTTAAATAAAGAAATTTATCATAATTCAACAAAATTACTCTTCTTAAGCTTTTGTTGTTGTTTACATTATATATCATGGTATAATTAAAAATTATTGAACTTTATGGTCCACTTAACCTCCTTCGAGTGCCAGGAAAGTACAAGAACCCTTGCCAGCTTTTTAAAAATATGATACTGTATTAGATATAAAGTTAGTTGGGTACAAATTTCATTCTAATATTTATTATTATATTTTCATTTAAAATATTAAAGATGAATCATTATTAAAATTTAATCATTAGAAAAACTATTAAATTTATATAAATAATTTTAGAGTTTCTAAATTTAATATTGTAATAGTAATCTATGCATTACACTTGTAAGTAAATGTATTAATTCTGAATGATTGATTTAACGATAATAAATTTAGTATTTTTGTTTTAAATAGATAAAACTGAACTTGAAGCTGCTCAGCATTATCTGGAACAAGCTGCACAAAACAATTTGGTAAATATATTTTTTAATTGATAACCATTTAATGTTTCTAAAAATTTTACACAAATATACATGTAAATTTATCAATTTTTAGATATACTTATGTAAAATTGTGTTAATGCATGCTGTTTTAGACCTTTATACTTAAAAACTTATTATTTTATTTTAAAACTTTAATTTTATTCAAACATTAATATAATTCTTTAATCTATGTATTAATCACAATGAAGCATATCTAATGTATATATCAAACATTTTAAATAGATATTAGAATGTAAATGTCTTAATATTGCAAAGAATTATTTAATTATTGAAATTTGGATGTCATTTATAATTGAAATTTATATAATTAATAATTTTATTCTCTATTTTTTTAACAAGCTTTTCATCTATATATTAAATCTAACAGTCCATAGAAAATGTTTTCATTTATACATATAAGATTATCTGCAAGTTTCAGAATTTGAACCTTACAGGCTCAGAAAACAAGATGAAAAAATTACTCTCATTTCATTTTAAATCATCTAATAGTATATATTTTCACACATTGTGTTGTTTTTTTTTTTTTTTTTGATGTCTTTAAAGTTGTAATATATTAGAGTAGGTAAAATAATTAAACAAGGTACCAAAATTTTCTGCACATGTATTTTAATCATCTTACATTGTTGTAATTGAATCTTAATAGATGCTAAGTAGCAAATGCTTATACATTATTTTGTAAAATTTTTACATTACATGTTTTAAAAAAAACTGAAATACGTGAAATGTGGAAATTAATAATTCATAATTGAATTTAGCATAGAAAAGAACAAAATTAGAAGAAATATTAAAAAGGAAGCTATTTTTATTTGAATTAATGTATAATAGACTTAATAGATAATTTGAATAATTTTTTTAACAAATTATTTTATATTCTTGTTTTTGTGTTTTTAAGTTAATTATAAATATTACGTTTAAAAATTTTTACCAATGTATTTTAAAAATGTAATAAAAAAGGATATTTTTTTAGCCTGAATTTCTGAAATCGCTGTCAGATGTGTTGCAACATGCCGGTAACAGTCCAGTGGCTCGTATGGCTGCTGGGCTGCAACTTAAGAATTCCCTTACCTCCAAAGATGCTGAATTGCGAAATCAGAACCAGCAACGATGGTTGTCCTTTCCCGAAGATGTACGCTTGTATATAAAACAAAATGTATGTATTTAGAAGATTTGTTGATATTGTTAATATTGTTAATGATACTTTGCCATTTTTTTCTTTAATGTTTAATGTTCTTTACAGGTTTTAGCATCCTTGGGTACAGAAACAATTCGTCCTAGTTCTGCTGCACAATGTGTGGCATATATTGCAGTAGCAGAATTACCAAATAGACAATGGCCCAATTTAATTCAAATTCTAACTCATAATGTTACAAATGTCAACAGTACTGAAATGATGAAGGAAGCAACTCTAGAAGCTGTTGGTTACATATGTCAAGATATTGTAAGTTACCATTTATGTAATTTTTCTAGTGTTGTTGTTGTTATAGATTTGATATTTCTAAAATTATAAGAATAACATTTTTGAATCATAATTGAAATTATTTATGGAGTTTGTATCAAAGTAAATTATTAAAAATTTGTCATATTAACACTTGAATATTCTTAATCTTATTTTATTCAAACATTTTTATTGTAATTAATATCTCTATTTAATTAACCAGGTCCTAATTTATTTGATGATAGCAATCTTAAATTTTAAATACTTGAATTTAAATTCACTTTCAGAATATTTTAATTTTAAAACTTATCTAATATTCTATTACTGTATTAACAAGATAATCTGATAGACTTATTCATTTCTAAATATTCAATGTTATTCACTAGATATCATAACTAAATTTGAACACTGTAGTTAATAAAATGCATTAAATTCTCTAAGAAAAATGATAAAAATCATACTGAATTTTAAATTTTACTTAAAATAAATCACTGGTTACAAGAAATTGAACATTTCTTGTGATTTTTACTGTGTTTGTGAAGAAACTTTTGTAACTAGATTAAGGAAAATAAGTATTTCAGTTGTAGAATTTAGTGCATAATAACATTTTGTTAAGGATCTTATCAATTTACAAAATTAAAAAATAAAGATAATCACAATTTGTAAAGTATTGGCATATTTTGAAATTGAAAAAAGAAACATTCATTTTATAGAATTTTTCTCCAAAAAAAAATGAGTCTTAAAAAATATGCTACTATTTTTAAGTTATTGTGGAAATGAAACATAGATGAATTTATTAAAAATACAAACAGTATAGTATAGTACTCGAATTAACAGACAGTACCATAGACTACATTAGTTTTATGAATACTGAATTATGTATAAAAATATTTTCAAAGAAATTGCTTTAGAATCTTATATAAACTGGTGTTCGGATGATTCAATAGTACACAAATTAGCATCAAGAAATATGTTAGTCAAATGTGCTCTAATGCATTCAACAAAGGAAAGAGATAGAAATGTGAAATTGCAAAGAACCATTGTTAGCACACAAGTATGGCATACCTAAATGAATTGTAGATGGCATTATTAAGGTTGTAATAAGGAAACAAGAAGGCCCAATTAAAACTAAAGATAAGAAATTATTAGTTATAGGAAAGTCAGGAGTGATGTTAGCAGCAAGATATCAGCAGGGCAAAATATACTCTGATCTAAAAGAAAACCTACAAATTACGAATATCCTGAAAAATGCTAGACTAAATAAATGCTTTTGGTAGAGCAGGAATTTATGCAATCAGGTTTATTGAATATAAAGATTGTTATTGTATAGGACCCACATATAGATTAGTTAATAAAAGGATCAAAGCATTTTATATCATTAGCCTTGGAGCAATGCAATAATGTAATATCACTTGCAGATGAGTTTGGGAAGCAAATATCAAGATAATTTGGAACAAGTTGATCCTTCTACAGCAGTGTTCTTTTTTCATGATACACCTGGGTATTTCCAAGGATTTCATGGCAAACTGCAGGAAAAAATATACAAAGGATATAGCAGTTACAAAGTATGGTGTATGTCAAAAAGCCTGATTTACTAGTTTTTTACTTGTGATGATATGAAAATATTTGATATTAGTTTATAATTGATTTTCTTATTTCGATTTTATTTCTTAACAACCTGGAGACCACTTTGGACAAAGTCTCAGGGTCTTAGTATAAAAAGCATGTGATTAGGGTCTTGTGTTTGTAGTTCCATGCAACAGACATTATCAACCTGTCACTTGCAAAAATGACAGTGCCATGTGACTCATCAAATTTACATGTGCATAGATGCTGTGAAATGTGATTCTCATTGTTCAAAGACAAGTTTGACTAAACATATCCTTATATTCTGTAAAATATGACTGCAAAAAGTTTGGAGCTTGTTAGAATTTCTTCTGTCATAAACATCAGGCAAATCATTGTCCCTTTTGAATCATATATTTATCATATTCATGTGTCCATTATAATCTGTATTTTTCTTCCTCTTGGAAGCATTGTGTGATGGCACACCAGTTTGATGAACTCTGTTCTAGAGGAATGGTAAGGAAGAATACAGGATATTAGTACAAATTTACATTTATTGTCTCAGGAAATGTTACCATTATTAATTGTAATGAAGTGATGGCATGGCCTCCAGGGTTGTTGGACCCAAATCTTCAAAAACTAGCTAATAGAATTAAGCAAGAAACTAATAAAGCAATGCAACAATGGGCGTGTGTCTATTAAGAGAGGTCTCCATATCTTGATCTGATCTTGATCTCCATATCTTGTTTGCTTTATTTTTCATATGATTAAATGTTGTAGAGATAGTTTGTATTTCAAATATTAAACTGTTTTATCAATTTTGCAGGAAATTTTATAGTAAATTCTAAATTCAGAAACTTTATATATGCAGACATAAGTCTTTATAAAATTTATTTTGATATTAATTAAACTTCATTTTTTTAATTGTTATAAGAAATAGAAAAAAAGCTCATTATTCTTGGAATATTTTAATTTTAAAAACACATTAAATAAAAATATTTTAGGATTCATGTAGAAAATGCCATATTTTCTAAAACGTAATAAATTTTAGAAACAAACTAAATAACAGTGTAATCAAGAATACAGTAGATTGTGAAAATAAGTTAAATTAATTAATGCTGGAATCTATTTGATCTCATAACTCAAAAAATGAGAATCAAAACTTTGTTTACAAATTTATGAGATTAATAACTCTCTAAAAATCAATAATGATAACTTTAAAACAAATTTAATATTTCCATCAGGTTTTTATATATGTTAAAAATACAAAATTTCTACATAAAGGAATTTTATTTTTTAATATCTTTTAAGAGTTTTTTTTGTAGAGTAAATATCATATTTTTGTATAAAGATAAAAAAATTAAGTGTAGTCAAGTATGTATTATCATGTCATATTTGATATATGTTACAAATATTTGTATGTTGTTATTAAGACATATAGTATGGGCCTACATAACTACTATAAATTATAAAAAGAATGTGTTCTAATGAAAAGAAATTGTTAATGGAAAAAATGTCTGAGAATGAAGTCTGTAATTTATTAAAATGAAAGATTATCAGTGTTTTTTTTAATTATTTTTCCATTTGATAATGAAAGGCATTTTATTTTTTTACTCATTTTCAGGTAAACATAAATTCAGCTATCATATCAAACTTATTTATTTTCATTTTCAACAAATGAAAAGACGAATTTTGAAAACCTTAGCATACAGTATTATTAGAACTTCATATAGTAAATATTTGGAGTATGTTAAGATATGAAAATTGAAGAAAATACAAAAGATAACTTTCTGATATCAAAATTAAAAGTTTGTTTACGGAAATTTAGATTTAAAAATTTATTTGAATCACAATTTAATATATAAAATGTCTAATTAAAAATTGGCGCTAATAAATTTTATATTTGCAGGAGCCAGATGTATTGGCCACACAATCAAATGATATCTTAACAGCTATTGTACATGGGATGCGTAAAGATGAGCCAAGTGACCATGTCAAATTAGCTGCAACAAATGCACTGTTGAATTCTCTTGAATTTACTAAAGCAAATTTTGAAAAAGACTCTGAAAGACATTTTATTATGCAAGTTGTCTGTGAAGCTACTCAATCAAATCATACACAGGTGATTGTTAATATATGAAATTTAGTTGCTTGAATGTATCTTACAATATTATATATATTAAAATGTGTTCTTGTAATTAACAGGTTAGAGTTGCTGCCTTACAATGTTTAGTGAAGATCATGTCTCTATATTATCAGTACATGGAAGACTATATGGGCCCAGCTCTTTTTGCTGTAAGTACATTGTATTTCATTGAATATTTTAAAATTTGTTGAAATGAATTCTAAACCATAGCAAATTTTCAGATCACCATGGAAGCTATGAAGAGTGAAATAGATGAAGTTGCTTTACAGGGTATTGAATTTTGGTCTAATGTTTGTGATGAAGAAGTAGATCTGTCAATTGAAGCATCTGAGGTAATGCTATACTAAAATATTTAAGATGCACTGAGATTTGTGTATTTAGTTTAGATATATTTTAGTATATCTAGGTTTAACACATTTAAGTGTCAATAGTCATTGTAATTTTTCCTTTCCCTGTCTCACTAATTAGGTAAGACTTAAAACATGAATATTTCACTATACACGCAAATATGATTATATATTATTTCACAGTATGATTTTAAGTTAAAAAAAACTACTCCAAGAAGTTTAATTCTGTTTAACCATGGTAAATTTAGAAGCATTTGTTAGAGAGCTGACATTAAGAACACCAAAATCATTCATATAATGTGGATGTTAAAATTTGTTAGCAGATGAATATGATTTAGAAACAGTTCAAAATCTTCATAAGGGAATAAGAAACTAAAAACAATTATCCAAGATATTACAGTAGAGCCTCGATTATCCGACCCCCGATTAACCGACACCTCGGTTAACCGACCGTCCTAGTCGGCAAATTTCAAATGTCCGCTAGTGATGTGGCGCTACAATATTTGGCTATGTCTTGGCTACTTTAATATTATTTTACGTGTTTTAGCTGGCAACACTCATTCGACCATGAAAGGGAGCCAGTATTTAAACGAGGCTTAATTTTCTAATTTTTAACGATACAATAGCGACGATTATTATTTTAAAAAA